GTGTTCTATAATACTGGGAACTTATACTACATTTATTTGTGTCTGTGGCAGAGCTGAATCCCAATGGAACATAAAGAAAGTTAGATGCCTCTGGCACAAGCAGGGCCCTCCTTCCAGGACTACTGACTTCGGCTATTTCTTGTTTTCTCTCTTTCTGGCCCCACAACTCTTTCTCCCTTGACTATCCAGTGGACTACATTCACAAGGTGTCCAGTTGCTAAGATTCCTCTTATGTGGCATGGGGAAATTACAATTCTGATTCCAAGCAGAGAGATACTGAGCAGACAGAGGTATCTTAGTAGGTTAACATTCTCTACTGGAGAGCCATACACCTCCTACATAACTGAGGATCTGCCTCCGAAGACATCAAAATGCTTCGCATTGAAATGAATGAGAGAGCTGTGTACTCTTGCAGGGCAAAGTAGTATTTGCTCCAGGAGTTCATGAGGTATATACTGGCTCCCTATAGAAAGTATGGAAGAAAACATCTACACAGACAAAACAGGCTGTCTCCTTGAGTTTGGCCATCTATTACAGGACCTTGCCAGCAGCTACATATTAGGGACTAAATTTCAGCTTTGCATGCCTAGGTGGCACTTACATGGATAGCTATGTAACTGCAACTTTTGACATTTACACATAGTTTGGATTCTGTTTTCACCTGCAATGGAATGGGATCAACCAGGTATATGCATGCAGGAAGTAAAATGGAAGTGGAAAAAAAATCTCCTACACGATAGCTCAATGGCTTTGTGGTTAGTGTACTTGTCCAGATAGAAAACCCTACCCAAGGAGGGGCTTGACCCTACCTAGGCTCCCTCACCCAAGGAGGTTTGACCCTACTTCTCCTACTTCCCAGCAAAGGGCTCTAACCATTAGGCATTATCCAGAGCAGTCTCTAATCCTCCTCTTCCAGTTTGTCCAGTAGGCAATCAGGAGGGGATATATGAGGGAACAGGAGGAAGTAAGCAAGCTGGAAGGAAGGTGACTTAGGAGGATGCTGTTCTGGGTTCTGTCACCTACTCCCAATGGGGCAGAAACTAATTTTCTGATGTTTATCCAATGACTATTAAACGCAAGGTGCAGAAAACCCATTATGGTCCCGAACATGTTAACTCTAGCATGAAGACATTCCCATAGATTTCACAGATTTCATAGACCTTAGGGCTGGAAGGGACCTCATGAGATTATCAGGTCCAGCCTCCTGCCCAAGGGGCAGGAAGTCAGCTGGGGTCAGATCACCCCAGTAAGATAAGCATCCAAGCATTTCTTAAAGGTATCCAGAGTAGGTGCTTGCACCACTTCTGGGGCGAGTCTATTACAGACACTGGAGACTCTGATGGTAAACAAGTTTTTCCTTGCATCCAGTCTAAAATGATCTTCCAGCAGTTTGTGACCATTAGAACTTGTCTTCCTTTGGAGTGCCCTGGTGAACAGATGTTCTCCCAGATCCTGATGCACACCCCTTATATATTTCTAGGCTTCCACCAAGTCCCTCCTGAGCCTTCACTTCTCCAGGCTGAAGAGTCCCATGTCCTTCAGCTTCTCCTCATGAGGCCTGTTCTCTTGCCCTCTAATCATGTGTGTGGCTGTCCTCTGGACTCTCTCAAGCTTCTCCACATCCTTTCTAAAGTGCAGAGCCCAAAACTGGATGCAGTACTCCAGCTGCAGCCTCACCAAGGCTGAGTACAGCGGGAGGACGACTTCTTGGGTCTTACTGGAGATGCATCGGTAGGTGCAAGCCAGAGTTTTATTCGCTTTGCTGGCTGTGGCATTGCACTGGTGGCTTATGTTCATCTTGTGTTCAGTCATGACCCTCAAGTCTCTTTCAGTCATGGTGCTAGTGAGTGTAACACTGCCAGGCCTATAAGTATGACCTAGGTTTTTTAGCCCAAGGTGGAGCACCTTGCATTTCTCCATGTTGAATGTCATCAGGTTTTGATCCACCCACCTTGCAAGCATGTTCAGGTTGGCCTGAATTGCCAGCCTATCATCTAGGGTGACCGCGCTTCCCCATAATTTGGTGTCATCTGCGAACTTAGCCAGTCTGCTTCCGACGCCCAAATCTAGATCATTTATGAATATATTAAAGACTACTGGTCCGAGTACTGAGCCCTGGGGGATGCCACTGGTCACCATGCACCAACACTGAAACAGATTTTAGATTTGCTTAAATTGTTATAGCTTGGGTCAATACATTACTAATTTAAGGTAAATTGATCTAAGCAAGAGTCAAACCAGATTAGATGCATCAGCATTGCAGGTCTGGCATTTATTTAGGCAAATTCATAATATATGGAAATAAAACTACAACTTTTTTTTAACTTAGCATGTGAGCAGAATCACAGAGCCTATAGCTCCTTAGTTTCTGATTTCTTGAGCTTATATATTATGATATTATATACAACTCAGTGATGCTGACCATTCTGGAGGTAAAACAATTAACTCACAGAAATATCAAACACTTGTTTGTTTGTAATTGGATTGCACTGGCGGAAAAGAGACTAAGATGACATCACTTGATGCTCAAGTCCAGTCCACACACACATACAAAAATTAAATGCAAGGGTGAGGGGGTGCTTCTAACTTCCTTGCTCTCTTAAATATTTTTAATTGTTTATAAACAACAGTGTGTTTTAATTAATAGCAAACTATTTTAAACTATTACTTACCTTTTTGAAGTCAAAGATGTGACAGTAAAGAGGAAGGACATTTCTTTCCTTTCACTGAGGTAGCAGCAGTTTTTGAAGGTGATTAACTGTTGTATGCTGTAATATTAAAAGGATTTTTAAAAGGCATTTTATTGGGAGGATTCCTGATTTAAAGAGGTGCTTCAGGAAGTAATCAGCTGTTTTACTGTCCCATTGAGATAGCTATTTCTCTGCCAGGGTAAGCTCAAATAATATCTATATCAGTATAAGCAATGTAATGGTATACCATCTCAGAACAAACTATGTGGAAAGTAGCATCTAATATTGCATAATCTACATAATAAAAATATATGTGATTCATAGAATGAGGTTACAGAGACAACGTTAATCTCAAGAAGAAACTTCCTAGGAGAAACAATCTGGAGGACTGTGTCATCATCACATTCTCTCTGACCATTCAAGGAGTCAGCTATGAAAAAGACTGAGGACAATAACACCTTCATTTACAATGTCACAGCCTATAAATATTAGATCAACTGCTTTAGAGCCTGCCTATTAGAGACAGCCTATTCTCATGCAATATTTTATCAGTTGAAGTGAATAGAAGTTCTTAAAATAACAAATCCCAATTAAAAACAAGAAGAAGCCTAGTGGTGGGGTATATTATGATGAAGTTTTCTTGAATTTGTTCCAGGCTTTATTAGAGACAGCCTGAATTTTTTAGCTTATGTGGGCCTATTTTTCCCAGGTTTCTTTGACTAAACGAGTTTAATTTCCAGTTTTCACATATGAATCAGAAGCCAGCTCTCCCTGCCTCAGAAAAGAATAATTGAAGAAGGCTATTTTGACTTTACGCGTTATCCAATACATGGCCTGAACAGTGGAGAATCTAGAAGTGGACAGGAAAGCCTGATACTCTCATTCCAAGTTCTGAGAGGAACTTAAACAGGGTACCGCATATAGTTAACACCCCACCTAATCCAGGTTAGCACCACTCAAAATCCCAAGAAATAGTTTAGTGTGGATCATTGTAAGCATATTTTAGCTCTAAATTTATATTTTGGTTGTTCTATGTAAGTTTCTACATGGAAAAGCCAGTTCAGGGACCAAAGAGTCTGACTTCCAGGCCCCTTGAAACTAATTTGGAGCTTATCTACTTGAGATGCCTTTCAGTAATGTGAGTTGCCACCTTTCCCTGCTCAGTTTGGTGTGTGCTAGGGCATTCTAGATCCAGGACTAACCTTGACTTGAACAAATGGGTATGGTTTTGTGTTAGAGAGTTAGTTTGATGACACAGAGATAAACATTGGTATGGGATATCTGTCAGAGCTAGAAGCAAAAGTATTTTGGAACATGTTCTTGAGACGAATGCACACATCTTTCCACTTAGGTTCATATTTCCATGCTTAATATATTTTGGATGGGCAGGATGCATCCTGTTGGACATCTAACTGCTACCAAACAGATTCTGTCATTAAATATATATTGTGGTACATATAAGCCCAAATTGAGAATTATCTATATTGCTTCCCTGATTTGTCTTTTATTTATATAATTAAATATATATAAGGAGTTTCCCTTCCTACATCAGAATTGTTACTCCTTCACTGTTAAATTTCTATCCTTAGGGATAAATATTCCTAATTATCCCAATTACTGTATATTTCACCTTCTCCAAATCCCATTATACATTTAATTTTTGGTGTCATTAAATGTGAAACATAAAGTATATATGATGGGCTTTTGTGGACAATTTAACATTGCTACTGCAATCTTAACATTAGCATTGCCTGACTTTTATTTAACTCTTGATCATTAAAAGTATGTTAACTTTGTTTCTCTTTTTGGAGACACTGAGCTTCAACACCAGATGCCTTTCTCCTTTAGTAGGATTTAAGGTAACAAAACAAAACATTTAAATTTGCACATGTTCTTCATAGGTATCTGTCTCTGTCTCATTAAGTATATTGGCCAGTCCACAGAGTCATGTTCCTTTTGTTCTTTAGGGAGACTTGAATACAGTAAGAAGCATCCTGATCAAAAATGTTAAAACAAATGGTTCAGTGAGTACGTGACAAAAAGGAGCCAACTCATGGCCCGGTCACAAGACCAGCCCACTCCTTTGTCCTTGGGCCAACCGCCCACCTCTTTCTTCTGCCACGCCTTGATATCCTATTGTTCAGATGTTAATAGGCAGGAGGCTGCCCTTCGCTCCACCCTGATGTCAAGAGCCAGATGTACACACTCCAACCACCCCTACACATGTCCCATACCTTGCAGATAACATGCTTCCAGCTTGAGGCCAGACCAAACTCAATGCACATTTAGGCCTCTTACTTACTGCCCCATTCTGGGCCACACGCATACCACCCCCCTTCTCACTGGGGCCCCTTTCACTCCCCCTGTTCTCACCAGGGCTCTCACATGCTATCTGTCATGGGTCTGTCTGATACCATGCTCTTGTGTCATACACACTCTGCCCTTGCTTCCTTTAAGCAACCCCAGAGGACCATCAGGTTTATCTCTTCTCACCTCAGCCAGGAGGCATGCAACCTTTTGGGCCTCTCCTGCGGCCTCATCTGAATGAACGCTGGGCATTTTGCAGAAAACTGGACCGACTTTGCCCCCTCGCCCTTCACTGAGCCACTACTCTGCCCCTACCTCTCTGGGGCCCCACTCTTTGCCCTCTCCCATGGCCACACTCCACCCTCTTATTTGGGCATGAGGTTGAACACCCCCATAGGCTCAGGTGTCATTCTACTTGATGTGCCTGTCCCACCACTCTTCCCTTTCCCTAAGGCTTAGGGTCAAACACCCCTGTAGGCTCAGGTGCCTTCCCTGGCATGCCTGGCCCAGAACTCTGGTTAATACACTCATCCTAAGGTGGGGGTAGGGGTTTAGGCACCCCAACCTACCTTACACCAGGATGGTCCTCGAACTTGGCATTTAAGTGGCCCTGACCCACCACAGACAAGACCACCAGGTCTGTCTATCCTGGCAGGGTACAGTTTCAGGTCTTGTCCAGGACCGGTGAGGCCTCCTCCTTCCCCATAGTCTCACCCTTACCTCTGAAATATTCCTGGAGAAGGAGCTCCACCAAACAACATTACTCCCAAGGCTGCCGAACTGAAACTGTTCTACTCTTATAACAGAGCTCTCCAAAATGGTTGCCCTTGTCAGACACCAGGCAGCTGGCTGCTCCAGCCCTTAAAGTGACAGAGCACTAAAGCTGCTCCATCACAGAGTACTTCTGTGTTCTGTAAATGCATGCATACTGACAGATCTATGTAACTGAGTTAAACTGGGAACTGGGAGCTTCTCATAGACCCATCAATGTAGTTTCTGTCAACTATGCGAAGGTGTATGCTTACATAAAAAATCAGTCTGCCCAAGGTGCACATTATCTTTCTCTTGAAGAATAGAAATATCTTTTTCTATATCAGAAACTCTTATCTCAATACCATTAAAAATTAATTTATAATTCCTAGGTCTTCATCCTACTCAGTTGTAGCCATAGATTTCTAGTATGGTTAAGACTTAACAGTTTTCATGACCAATGACACCCAGTGGATTGATGTGACAAACATCACATCTGACAGCATTTGAATATTTGGCTAGTCAACTGGCTTGAGTGAAGACAGCCTCTGGCTGTCTAGAATAGGGCTCAAACATGCCTCTGGAGTTATCACAAGATACCTTAACTACTTGGACACCACACCAAAAATCGAAAGGAGCTAGCACTTATATTTTACTCCAATAATATTTGAAAGTTTGGAAATATTTTTAAATACACAGCTCTACAGTATTAATACTTTGGATTATTATGGTTGTTCTTGTCCTGAGGAGTTTACAGTCTAAAAATGGGGTGGAGAGGACATGGGGTGCCCTGTAACATAAAGAACAACCCTAGGGAGAAGCCCCACCATCCTGCAGAGTCATATTTGTTTTGATATCATGCTGTTGTTTGGACTTTAGTAAACATATCACTGTTTGACACCTAAACATTTTGATGGTACATCAGGAGTACTGTGAAGGCATGCTGATAGCATCTGTAAGATAGGGCTATGCAAACTTTATAAGCACCTGGGCCTACCTTTGTGAACAGATGTCATCACATAAGAATTCAGGGAAAGCTTTGACTTATTAGAGAACAGATTTTTTTTGTGTGTAGCTGTGGCCACGTAGGAGTTTAGGTTCAGTTTCTGCGCATGAATGAGAGAGACATTGTGTAAAAAATTCATACTTATTCATGTGCAGTGGCACTTGCAGCCTTTACAGCCTTCCCAGTTTCCCTGTATTCTTGCAGAACCAAGCCCCTACTTAATAAAAAATACATAAGAAAAAACACACAAAAATGTAATTGTAAAACAGTTAGAGGTTTGTTAAACATATACTGTACATGACTCAAACCCACAAAACAAGAAAATGAAAAGCTAAGCCATCTAATGATACCTATACTCATATATACACACATCTTACCATTACTATTATCATGCCACACAGACCATATACTGCAAATAACCTTGGCGTTCCTTTGCTTCTCTGGCTGTAAAATGGAGATAGTATTTATTCTGTGTATAATGGTGATTATGATTTTTAAGTCTTTTATTTTAGTAATTTGATCATTAAAATCTATGGCTACAACTGAGTAGGATGAAGACCTAGGAATTATAAATTAATTTTAATGGTCTTGAGATATGAGTTTCTGATATAGAAAAAGATATTTCTGTTCTTCAAGAGAAAGATAATGAAACAAATATAAGATTGCATCTCTACAAGCAATATTATTCCTGTTAATGCTGCATTTCCTTTAGAGGGAGAAAATCTTGGGAGGAAATTTAAGTTATTTAAAACTTTATGCCATACATTTCCCAATATTTTAGGGGGGAATTAAATAATAAGTTATACTCTGAAATGTTTAGGGCCAGATTCTGAAACACCTACTTAACTCACAAGTAATTCCATTAAAATCAGTGGACCTTTTCACCACGTAATGTATTAAGATGAAGAAGGTATCAGAATCTGGTCCTTCATGCATATGTAAAACATATAAGAAGCAGAACAAATCTCCACAAATGGAAAAAAATTAATCACTTAATCTCTGCCTCCACTGAATACATCTGTTTCCTTGGAAGAGACAACTTGGTTTATGTCTGTTTATGTTCACAGGTCAGATTCTTCCTGTTCAAAAATACATGTTGCACAGAAGGGAATTGGTGAGGATTTATTCACCAAGGCGCCCCCAGGGGTTACAAGAAATAATGGCCACAAGCTAGCAGAGAGCAGATTTAGATTGGACATTAGGAAGAACTTCTTCACAGTTCGAGTGGCCAAGGTCTGGAACGGGCTCCCAAGGGAGGTGGTGCTCTCCCCTACCCTGGGGGTCTTCAAGAGGAGGTTAGATAGGCATCTAGCTGGGGTCATCTAGACCCAGCCCTCTTTCCTGCCTATGCAGGGGGTCGGACTCGATGATCTATTGAGGTCCCTTCCGACCCTAACATCTATGAATCTATGAATCTATGTGGTTATATTTGGCTTTGTTGTACACCCTGAATGGACATTCAAGTTAACTGCTTTTCTGAATAACATTTAAATAATCTTTTAAAGGAGTAAAATGCATGTTTGTCTAGATATCAAGAGAGTGAGTTTTAACTGTGTGTTCATTGCAAACCCTTCTATTCATACTGATGCTAAGTTTCATACAATAATAACATATAGTAATTACTTTAACTGATATATGTTATTAAAGAATGAAAAGAAAAAAAGGAAAATTAATCATGTTCCCTTTAATAGTTGAAAATGACTTGATTAATCATCCAGTTGTTTTGATTTAATTTTGTCTGGACACACAAGTCCCATGATAAGTTTCTGTTCCTAGAGTGACTGCACAGAGTACTTGGAATCAGGTTGGTGGTACGGACAATCATGTTTACAGATTGAAAATTTGCTTTCTCTGAATATTGTTCAATAGCTCAATTTTTTGCAACAAACTCATAATAAAAAAATCTCAAGACTAAGCTATGTTTATGAATAAAAGTTGCAAATACTGCATGATGGGTGAAATATAAAAATTTAGGCCACGTACAGACATTCAGTTTCTACTGGGAGAATTACTGCTGTCCCAGTAGAAATGCAGATGTTCCTTCGTTTTCTCCCAAAGTAAAAATGGACAATCTGAGAGAAAAATAATCCAATTACAATGAAGTATAAATCACTCCTGGGCTGGTTTCTCCTGGGACACTGAATGTCTGCAAACTTTCTTCTCCCCAGGGACCAAGAGGAGTGGAGCCAGGGGTGGGTTGCCAACCCAAGACAATTGTTTTACTGACAAGCTGCAAGCCTATTACTGACAATCAAACTTTTTTATTAAAACATGCTTTGCATAATGTAAATATGACCCTAGTACCAGGTCCTAGGTGAAAGCAGTTTCCCTCCATCCCTGGGGTCCTCTGTACAACCTAATGCCCCTGACTATACTCTGCATTGTGCTGCTGCCCCCAGCCCATCCCCCAACCTTACCCCTGCTGGCTCTGCTCCCTTCCCTTTTTTTTTTCTCAGGAGGGACCCCAGGAAAGTATTACCATCTGCCTACCTGCAAAAGTGTTACAGGCAGGGATGCAAACAGCAGCAGCACATGGCTGGTAGGAGAAGGGCTACAGGCTACAAAGCTCTAAGAGACAACAGGTGCACTGCTCTGCTTTGTCATTCAGGAATTGCCCTTGATGAGGGATCTTAAGTCAAGATCCAGTTTTTATGGATGGCTCAATTTTTTTTTACAGATTTTATGAACAGGTGTTTTTAGAATTCTTTTTTAAGGTTTGTCTGTACATTTATGGAGAGTTGACAACCCAAATAGGTAAAGACTCCCATGCCTTCCAGACAGCAAGGTCCTTGGTCTGGAAAAGGATTCAAAAGGCAGCTGTCCCCACCCCTCCTGTAGACCAGGAAGGGAGGGCAGGAGCAGCCATTAGCTGCTCCCCACCTTCTTCTCACTCTGGAGTTCCTCGAGTAAGAAGCAGGCAGGGGACTTTGCCATGCTGCTCCTTCAACTTGGCTGCTGGGCATAAGAAGTGGGCAGGGGGCTTTCCCCTGCTGATTCAGTCCTCCAGGAATGGTAGCACTGGAGCAGCCCAGGCTTTCCACTGTAGTCTTGGAAAGATATAAGGAACAGGAAAGGGGGTGGTTGCAGACTGAACCCTCCTGGAATCATTTCTAGTGGTGGAAATTTTCCACCATTAGAACTGAATGTTTACACGGTGCTAGATAACAAACAATTTCAAGAGACAAATAAACCTCAGAAAATAGATCTGCTGGTAGGCATATTCCAAACAGAAAAAGAGGTAACAGTAACCGCCCTTCCCAAACTCTGATCCCTTTTTGTTATGCCCATTGTTTGTAGATCCAGATGTTTATGAAAGAACTGCCAGAAGCAGCATTCAGAGTTTAAGAATACTTGGACAAATTAATCCATACTTTAAGTTAATTCACTCTAACATTTATCCTTTTGCATGAATTGACAGTGGGTCAAAGTGCTACTACAAACCAGTTTCTTATTTATGAGTAAAATAGGAATCTGTATTTCTTAAAGGTAAACCTTATAGCAGCTTGAGTAACAGATATCATTATCAGGTGAAGATGAAGGAATATATCTGCCAGGATAGGAGGGAAAATGCCCATATGAAGACAGGAATAATAGCCTTATCAAGAGAAGTGGTGAGGAAAGGATAGATTAAGACATGTCTGGAATATCTCTACCAACTGCAACTCTCAGTCTTTTCCTTACTTAAATGTCAACAGCAAATACTACTAACATGGGAGAAATAACTAAGAGGCCAATCCAGCAAATACTGTTCAGTGGGATTACTCACAGGAGTAATATGATTCATATGTATAAGTGTTTGCAGAATCAAGCCCTAACTGAAAAACATTTTGAATCAATATTGCCAGCCACACCTATGCAGTAGAAATCAGTACCTTGCTCTAAAGTATATGTGTAAGGATGCAGAACATATTTTTAAATGGCATGGAAAATTCTTTCCTTCACATTCCAAAAAAGCATTTATTTATTCCATTTTACTAATACCATTCTGGAAGCTAGAAGATAAATCTTCTCCTACATCAAAATTCCACT